AGGGTGGGGCACAAGTAAGCGGTTCATCCATATGATCCTGGTCAGCCATTTGCAAATCTCCCGTGTGGTCTATGCCTTGCGGGTTTAAATGCAGTCCGAGCTGATCATGTCCCAGACCCTCAGCGTTCGGGGCCACATCGTGAGTAGGGACTGTCGTTGGGAGTGTACTCTGGGCAGGGACCATATCCTGTTGCACAGCTGGGGGACAAACGAACATGGAAGGGCATAAAACATGGTGCTGTGGCTGTGTGCAAGCAGCTGGACTGTCTGCAGGAGGCATAGGAGCGGATRTATCCGTTTGGGACAACGGAACCGCAACAACCCGTSRAGGAGGCACAKAGAGAATTGGGGTAGACAMAGAAGCATGCCGCTGATCCCTGGCCAAGTGGCGATGTTGTGCATGTCGTCGACGATGATACACAATAAGAGGAGTGGCGATGTTTCTAACAGAAGATGCTATCATCAAATAGAACTGCCCGGTAAACCGTAGGCAGAGAGGGAGAAGAGGACAACAAACGAGGGGCTGTGACAAACTGTATATATCGTCACAAACAAAACTGCCCGGTAAACCGTAGGCAGAGAGAGAGAAGAGGACAACAAACAAGGGGCTGTGACAAACTGTTTCGTCGGAGTTTCTTATTTTTTTATTTTAAATCTGATGACGAATTTCTCTTTGACCCTGAGGTAAAAGTTGTTCGGTTTATTTTTCCGCATAACATTTTTTTTCAGTGTTTTTTTTTTTTTTTTTTGCTGGGACCTTCTATGGTCCTCGCACGGCCAGGCAGCCAGGGAAAACAAGGTGACCCGGGCGGCCCGGCTGGTAGCCTAGGTTCATTGTAATTTCATAGTTCAGGTACTAGCAATTGGGCATGCACTTAGTATGTAGCTAACAAGCACAGGAGGCAAAGAGGCTGTAGACATGAAACACTGCTGCCGACTGACTTAACAGTCAAAAAAAAACACACAGAACTTTGGGAGAACAGGGAAAAAAAAAAAAAAAAAAAAAAAAAGATGAACTACGTACCAAGCATGTGAGTGGAAGAACTTTGAGCAGTACAAGGCCGATGCCAGTACAGTAGATGACCGGCAGCACCATCGATACGATGGCTGCCCCCTTCTCCTTACTTCCAAGTCTCACCTGAGAAGCGACAATCGTGCAACATAGTCCATCCATCCATCAACTATAAACAATCAATGCCCATTGTGTGATTACTAATTCATTTAAAAAAATGTTTCTTAAACTTTCTTTAAAAAAAGAGCAGGGAAAAAAAAGAACAGCACCTTTCGATCATTCCACGTGACCTGTGGACTGAACCCGCAACCTGTAGACTAGAGATACGGTACTGGGGTCCGGTTGCAGAATATAAGGGGGAGAAGTACAGTTGGGCTTTGAAGTTTGAACACTTGACCTTTTGGACCAAGGCTTGTGCCGTACGTGTTTGTAGGAAAGTTGTGTGCCGACTTTTGAACCAACCAGTGATTTCTGATGCGGAAGCCTAGGATTCCAGGACCTGATGGTGCCTGCGGGACAGACCTGACACCAGTACCTGCTAGTACCAGTTTTGTTTCGACTTGAGAGTGCCGGCAAAACATTGTGGACATCGATCCTTCATAGATCCTGACTTTGCAGTAGAGACTTGAACTCGCTACCTCGTACTGACAGCGTAGCTCGCAGTAGTCGAGTTTTCATAGATCCTGATTCCTGATTTTGCAGTAGAGAGTTGAACTCGCTACCTCGTACTGACAGCGTAGCTCGCAGTAGTCGAGCTTTCCTAGACTCTGATTCCTGATTTTGCAGTAGAGACTTAAACTCGCTACCTCGTACTGACAGCGTAGCTCACAGTAGTCGAGTACTTAGACTGTGTTGTGTTGCCAACATATGAACAGAGCTTATGAGAACATTATCCCTCGCCAAGGTCGAACGCTTTCCACGGAATGCGAGCATCCGGATGGTGGCGCGCATGTGGAAACGGGAGTGGGTTAGTGGTGAGGACGGGCTGATCGAAGGGAGACGGCTGGCGGAAAGGCCCTGAGGATGACAGCATGGCGGCTGTCGAAACGCAGCGTCAGGGATGCCAAACCTGTAATCATTGTGCATTTGCACTGAATATTCTACGAATGCTTTGAAGTTCTAGGCTGGGCGGGGCCGGGGGGGTCCGCCTGGAAAATCCAGGCAGCCCAAAAACCCAGCAGTTTTTTTTTTCTTCTGAAGACAGGGTTTTGCTGCGCTACCCCAGAGGACCCC